AAAGCACCAAAAAGTAAGACTATATGAGGTAGGAACTGGTTGGAGAGGTAGCCATTGTAGAAACAAATCTGCAAATCTACTTGGACTTTAGTATCTTCATCTGTATTTCAAGGAACAAAGAAGAAATTACTTGTCTAGCATAACATTTTGTCTAGCATAGCACATGCAGTAAGTTCCCACTAAATATGGCATTTTATCATGAAAGTAGTTTTCAAAAGAAGTTGGTCTAAAGAAGTTCATTCACATGTCATTTTGTGTGACAATAGAGGCAAGTTTCATATCATTATCCCACAGATATTCTGGCCTTGTTTAATACAACTGTAGTGAAAAGGGACTATCTGTTCCCAGAATTTATAACCTGAAGACCCAAATCATAAGTTTTTGAATTGAATACAGTAGCCCAAAGCCTGTTAAATCAAATTAATAAACAGAGCAGAAATGTCCATGTTTTCTCAGTGTTTAAGCAAAGTTACTGAATTCCTTCTGTTTGCTATTTTGTATTTCTGGTTACAAGATGCTGTCCTCTGCTGTTTGCTGAAGATTACACCAGGTAGAGTCACCAGCACACAATGAAATAACATGATGGTTTCATTTCACCAAACAGATCCCTACAAATCAGGACGGAAAAACAAATACAGAATTCTGTATGTCCCTAGACAAACCTGCCACATTTGCACCGTGTTCCTCTTCTCCCGGGTTATCTCATTATAATGGCATTTGTCCACTCCAAGCTTTTGGCAACTCACATGGGCTAACTGGAAGTGTGACAATGGGACCGATCCCATTGCTCATTGGGTAATTATTTCCTCTAAAAGAGTTTTTATAAAGAATTGTACTTGAACACATACCCTGTCGTTGTTGATGGTACCTGGAAACTTCTACTGAACAACTATTTATATATTTGTTTATATTTACATCATTGCTTAATAGCAATTTATTTTACATGTGTATTTGTGTGACAGTTCGCTTGTTTAGTACTTATGTCAGTTCTCTTTGAGTAAGATCATTCAGGGACAAATGTGGCATTTCCATCTCCCCACAGGGTCACACATTCACCGCCAGGATGCAGAACTGATAATGGTAGCCTGCATGCCTGTGACAGCCTTAGATGTATTCCCCACACTACCCTAGAAGTAGTAGCAAAACTAGGAGAATTGGAATTGGGATGATCTGGGTTCAAACCTTGTCTAGGTCATTTACCAAGTATGTGGCTTTAGCGTCTCTTTCTTCATCTTTAAAATCTCTCAAGGGGATGTATTGAGTTTTAAATAAGTTGATGTATATGAGAAGTCAGCAAAAGAGCACGCTATATAGATGTCCCATAAACACTGGTTTGAGTCTGAATCAAAAAATGAAGACCAAATGACTAATGCAAGGTCCTGTAGTCTGAATGGGTAACTGATGTGGAAGAAGAATGAGAAGGTACACAGGAATGGGAAGCCTTCTTTTTCCCTTTTGGCTAAATAGCACTGATCCTTCCCTGCTGCTTTGTTTGAAAGATTAATTCATTCTGAAAGGCTTTAAAGATGTCTGGTAGGTAGCTAATAATCAGCTTTGAGAAAGGAATCATTGGCCTTTCCCTTGCTGTCAAAGTTCCTAAAAAGGAAATTTGCATTTCAAATGGCTTGTAGTTTACTTCGGAACCCGAGTATAGACTCCTTTGAAGCTATCTAGAGCAACTAGTAAGTGTACTTTTTAATGGTTTATTAACTGATAAACTGTAATTGGCATATAAGAGTAAGAGCTTCAAAAGACAAAGTTACAGTCAACTGCCCATTAATGTTTCAAGTCAATCCATACAGCGTTTATTTTTAAATAGAAGCAATGCCATTACCCCTCCAGAAATTTACATTTCTGTTGATGCAACTCATAACTCCATCGGAAATTTAAAAAAAAACAACGGAGAAATTATAATAAATTACAATCCATGTGTAAAGAAAGCTCTTTCCTCTTGCAGGGGCTGAACATTTGAGACACATATTAGGACATGTGCTTAGTACCCAAATACACATCTAAATGTAATTCTTGTTTAATTTTCTAATGCTAAGTGAAAAAATATCCATGTAGCATAAAGGGAACAGGAAAGAAAAAAAAAGAACACTTGGTGTGAACTTAGATATGCCTATGATATTCCCTTAGTTAAAATCTCCTTTTGTTTAATGGCATTTCTCATTCTGATCAACTCTCTTTGTTTAAAGTTGTTTTTTAGCCAAGTACATATTCGGATCTCTCAAAAGTAAAAGAAAATCAGCACAAGATCATTAATTAGGGAGCGCGAAATATATATATTTTCGCTTGTCCTCCAACATACACACTTTTTTTTATTGACAATTATATAGTGGAGAAGCAAACCAATGTGAATGTAGTACTAATCTTTATTTTGTGGATCCTCCATCTTTCTAAGAACACCCTGTGAAATTGAAAGGTGCCACTCGCCCCGCCCCACCCCCATCCCATCCCGACCCCTTAACAGGAGTTGATGGAAAAGCCGACAGCCAGGAGGAAGGATGTTGGAATTGAGTTGTCAAGCTGTCCTCGATGTCTTGTACAAACTGAACAGGCCAATTTACTGCAACGCTGCGTAAACTGAAGGCTCCTATCTCGCCTTTCCAGTGCTTTCTCATGTTGACCGTAGTCTCCCTTCCCAGCAGGTTTTCCGTTACTCCTAGATGCCTTCTGATCAGCCCGTCCTGCCCAAGGTATTAGTACTGTGTTAATCCTTACCTTGTGACCAGCCTGCTTGGCTAGGGAGAGAAGAGTCTCTTGCCCAGCAATCTGAAAAAGCAACAGCTTTGTGTGTTTGGTGATATTTTTGAAGCCTAGTGGTGATTTGATTTCAGTGTCTTCCCTTTGTAGCTCCAACTCTTGGCTTTCAGGATGAAAGCAGGCAGTCTTTTAGAAAAAAAAAAAAATTGACAACTTCTCCCACACAATCCCTGAGTTTCTTTGCCTATTACTAACCTGGGAGCGTGGGGGTTGCTTTGAAACTCAGCGGTTCCGGCTCTGCCCTCTAGGTGGCAGCAGTGCCACACCGCAGAGGCTCCAATCCCCTCGTCCCCGACTTCAAGTGTTAATGCAATTGACCAATCAGTGCTAAGATGATGGGAGGTAATTGGGTAATTGTATTTTACTGATCACAAGCAGAGGAAGGGAAGGGAAAAGGGGAAAGAAAGAGGGGCAGAGGAGGAAAGGGACTGCAGTCCGAGAGGAGGTTTGGGGAGCTAGGACCCGAAACGTCAGGACGCGGCGCTGGCGGGGAGAAAGGCTGCCGCGGGCACCAGGAGCGCATTTATTTATCTGGGGAGGGCGGGGGGGCGGGCGAGGAACGGGCGGGGCGGGGGGGGGGGGTTCGAGCCGAGCGGACCGAAGGGGACCCGGGTTTCCGCCGCGCGGGGAGCCGGGGCGATGGCGCGAAGGACGGCGCGGAGCAGCCGCGCTCCCGGGAACGCGTCTCCCCGCGGAGGACCTGCCGGCGTCGGGAAGGTCTGCGCGAAGCGAAACCAACTTGTGGCTCCAACACGCACCCGACGCAGCTGGAAATGAGACCAAAGCTGCGCGTTTCCTTCGAGAAGGAGCAGAGGAGCCAGCGCTTAGGGATTTAAAAAAAAAAAAAAATTCTTGACCTCCTTCGTTCCATTTTCCTTTTTTTCTGTCCTTATGATTACGCTTCTGACGTTTGCCTAGCACCCCGTCGGTCCCCTCACCTCGCCCGGCCCGTTTGAAATAAAAGCCCGGTGTGAACTTCTTTCGCCGCGGCGGCCCCGGATGCGCTGCCCGCTGATGGAGGAGAAGGGGACCCCGGGGCTGGCGGGGGCCACCGGCGAGGGACCGCGTCACGCGTCTCCCCCGTGATCCCGGCGCTGCGCGAGTTCTGCAACACCTGGAGGATCCGGACCGGGTGCCGGGGGTGGGGGCGGGGGCAGAGGACACGAAGGCCTCCCCGAGCCTTAAAAAAAAGAAGAAGAAGAAGAAGAAAAAAAGTAGCAGGGGGGGGGAGGTGGGGGAGGAATGGGTTTCTTCTTGACAGCTGACGGAGCCTTGAAATTTTCCTCCACTACCTCCGCCCCCGCCCCCGCCCCCGCCCCCCGCACTCCATTTAACGTGAGATTATGAAATTGCAGAGGCGGTGGAGGGAAGGAGACAGGATATAACAGGGAGTTTGGAGGGAGAGGGGAAGGTGGCTGGCCGGGTGGCTGAAATCAAAAATCCAATTGCGCACTGGGTTGTGATGAGAAATCTAATCAGATCTTTGGAGAAGGGGCCGGCCAGAAGGGTGGCGAGTGGGGGGAGTTGACCCCCAAATTCTTCGAAGGGGGGGCAGGGGTGAGGAATCAGTGATGTAAAAGGAGACTTTTTTGGTGGCGGTGGCGGTTGGGTGCCTTGCAAAAATGAAGGATGCAGGACGCAGCTCTCTCTTGGAACCGAACGCAGTGGATAAACTGATTGTGCAAGAGAAAAGGAAGGAGGAAGCTTTTTCTTGTGAGACCTGGATCTTAACACAAATGTGTATATGTGCCCACAGGGAGCCTTGAAAAATGAAATAAACCAGTGTCAGACCCACGGGGCTTGGTGTGTTCTGACATAAATAAATAATAATAAAACAGCTGCCCCCTCTCCCCAAAGGATGATTGGAAGTGGAGAACGGAGGATCCACAGAGAAAAAGTATGTTCGTTTTTCTCTATAAAGGAGAAAGTAAGCCAAGGAGATATTTTTGGAATTGAAAGTTTGGGGCTTTTTTTTTTTTTTTTTTTTAAGGAAAGTAAAGACCTGCTATGGTGATGTTTTCTTTTCTTTTTGAATTTCCCACAAGAGGAGAGGGAATTAATAATACATCTGCAAAGAAATTTTGGAGAAGAAAAGTTGACCGCGGCAGAATGAGGCATTGATTGGGGTAGACAAACCAGCAGCGAGCACAGTTGGATTTGTGCCTATGTTGACTAAAATTGATGGATAATTGCAGTTGGATTTTTCTTCATCAACCTCCCCCCCACCTTTTTTTTTTTCTTTCTTTCTTTTTGGTGTCAAGATCATGCGTTTTCGCTTGTTCTTAACCACCTGGATTTCCATCTGGATGTTGCTGTGATCAGTCTGAAATACAGTGAGTGATCCTTATTTTCTTATTTTATTGGTGAAGAAAATGCCCATGAATTTAGCATTCCCGGTTCCTTTATCCCCTCACCCCTTTCAGTGTGATTTTTAAAGACGTGGCTATTGGGGGCCAGAAAACCGGGAGAGGGTGGCCCAGGCATTTGTTCCATCAGGTTGTGCTCACCAATGAGCCGGTTTGCTATAATGATGCAGGTTGTCTGCATCCTGGGCAAAGGCCCTTGCAAATGTTCACCAGGAAAAAAAAACTCCCCAAGAAAGACGCTGCAGTGTGGGGTGCCTGTGCTGTGTGATTGACACTCTAGAATGCCTTTCAGTTGCAAGGCAGCCCTGGAGTTAGATGCACAAATGTTTAGCCATTGGAAATCGAAGGGACCCAATTTAAATTTCATTATCCAACCTGACATTGCAGATCAACAGAATGTATTAACACAAAAATATGATAATAAACCAAGCAGATGTAGGATAGCTTCTGGCTTCTGGCTGGTGGGTGGATTGAGGGAGGGAGAGTGGGCATGGGGGAGGAAGTGGTGGAAAGAGGTGTCTACACCCGCCCCATACCTATTGCACACACATGCTCCAATGTGGTCCTCAGATTACCTAGGTTCTCACTAGTACTAAGAATGAGAAGCGGGACCCACTTCTCTTCAGCCTCACCCCCTTCAAACTAACCACTTCTTTGGATAAAAGAGAGGCTGTACATAGATTGAAGGTGGCTTGGGTTCTGCCAGAAACCTTCCTAACATCAGCAAGACAGGGCTTTTGAAAAAACAAAGGGGGGGGGGGGAGGGAGGCAGAAATCCAGTGTCCTGTGGCAACTTAGATAAGGAGCTAAAGAAAAGGTTTGTGTGTTGAGCCCCAGTACTTCTCATGTGCCAGCTTTGTCTTTCGAGACAGAGGCCAATAAAGAAAAATAAGAAAAGGTTGAAAATGCTTAGAGAGCCCGGGGGGGCTGTAGGATCACCCCTCTTTCTATCTCCTTCCTCCCCCATAGTTTCCAGGGTCATGGAGCTGGCGTTTTAATTTTTTATTTAACGGAACCCTTCCTCTTCATCCTTCTATATTCCTCTCTGGGGCCTTTCATCAGAATCATAGACTCCTATAACTTTAGAGCCAGAGGACTCCTCAGAGATCTCATGGCAATAAAAAGAGGAAACTGAGGCCTAGAGAAGCTATAACTCTGGTTAACAGCCAAACCTTATGAGACAAGTGACTCACACAAGCCTTAGAACAGAAGACAAAAGTCAGTTTGGGATCCAAACCCGACAGTAATCAACCGTAAATCCCCACAGTTGCCATTTTTATCTAGAAGGGTCAAGGAAGGAAACTGTCCTGAGAGCTTGGAATAGATTCCTATTACTTTGGACCTCAAAAGTAGCCCATTTCTAATATTCATATCCTTTCTTAGACCCTTGGTGTTTTTTTTTTAAATAGCAGAGCTCAGTTAACCCTAGTTTTAATACTACTAAAAAAAGATCCCCAACTCTAGTGTATCCCAAAGAACATGAGAGGCAGAAATCTCCTGGGCCCCTTCTTGGTGTTGGGCACATTTAATCTGGTGAATGGTGGTCCCTGGAGAGTCATTAAGAACCAGGGAGTTAGATTTATATTGGAGAGATCATAATAGAAATCAGAAACACCCTGCTAAAAGCCTCTGAGTCTGTTCCTACACTCACATCATCTATTCTTATCCTTTTCATTACTCCTTAACTAAACTAGCCTACAGCTGAGCACTTCTTTATTTATTTCTCTGGGCACATGTTTCCTGTTGGGACACAGATCAGGCAATGAATTTACCAACCTATGAAAATAATCATGCAGAATTTTTTTTCGTCCTCTGAGCTCCTTGTAGGTTTCAGCATATCTTATAATTCCTGTTAGGTTTTTGTTTGTTTGTTTGCTTATTTGTTTTTGTTTTTACATGCCCACAGTTAAGTCACCGCTTAAGAGCATAGATTGACTCAAGTTATCTCAAGTTTCTGCTCAGTTGCAACTTAGCACAGGTGACAAAAGAGAAAAAAGGGGGAAAAAGTGAACTTTGATTGCTTTTACTGCGCAGCTCAGCTCTGGGCTTCACGTGGGAAACCCACTGAGCCTTGAAATCAGCCTGGCTCTGCCCGTCAGTGGAGGTCTCCTTCTCTCCCTGTCTTCCTTTCTCTCTCTTCCTTCCTTTCCTTCTTTCCTTCTTTCCTTCTTTCCTTCTTTCCTTCTTTCCTTCTTTCCTTCTTTCTTTCTTTCTTTCTTTCTTTCTTTCTTTCTTTCTTTCTTTCTTTCTCCTTCTCTCTCTCTCTCTCTCTCTCTTTCTCTCTCCTTCTTTGTTTTCTGGAATTCAGAATTTCTTCACTGCTACTCCAGTTAGATCTCAGAGTGTGTTCCTCTCCCAAACATTGTCAGCTCCTCTCTGTACCCTCCACACCAGCAAACTTTTCTGAAAACAGAGGGAAGAAAAGAAGGGGATGGTGGGGAAGGGTGGATTGAGAGAAAGAGAGAGAGAGAGAGAAGGAGGTATAAATATGTTTAAAGTCGTGGGCTGATATGTGTTCTCCCACTCACCTCCACTTAAATGTGTTCTTCAGATCTAGAGATGATGGAGGATCTAAGGATGTCATCATTTTTCATGCTGGTGAGTCACCTTACCAGCACTACAGTTAGGGACACACCAGCTTGGGGTTTAGCTTCTTTCCTTTGGCATTCAGAGTTGGCCTAATACTTTAGGCAACTTGCTCATGGACTGATGGAAAAATTTTGACCATGTTAGACTAGGAAGGTTACTTCTTTGCAGCTTGTCTCAGGGCCGAGGTTGGTGTCCACTGAGTACACTCCTGAGTAGATAGTTGTGTACTGCGATTCTGCTGAGGGCCACGGGCCCAGAAAACTACTGGGTTTTGCAAGTTTTGAAGTTGCCTCTTCAAATATCTCCCCCTTTGAGTTAATCACTGTGCCTTTTGGGCAAGATTTTAATTTCTCTGACCCTCAATATTCTGTATAGTTGGGATGATAATGTCAGCAAATTAGACTTGTTTTGTGAATTGAAATATTACGCAAAGGCCCAAGAGGCCCTCTGAGGAAGGCTGTTTGTTATGGTTGTTCTTGGATTAGTTTGTATCGACTTGCTGGGGAATTAACACAGTCTGGCCAAATACTTTTCCAGTTCTAGTGGCTACATTTGGGAACTAGGGAATGTGCAGCTGACCTTACAGGGGTTGCCAGATTCTTCTTTTGATGTCTTATCAGGACAGATTGGCTGCAGTAGGTCACTTTAGATATGAAATGCTGCTTCAAGCCCAAAGCTAAAAATCAAGATTTTCTCCTTAAGGTACAGAAAAATAAATCACAGCAAAAATAATACTTGAGAGAGATTTTAGGGTAAAACAATGCTGTTGTGTATACTTTTGGTCTAAAAGTTGCATATGATAGCTCCTGTATATTAAATGTATGATTTTAGCTACATATTACATTGTCTCTGGAATGCTCAAAATAAAGGCAAATTTCTAGGCAATTATATAACTTAAAGTAGCTAGTACAAAATTCCATTAGTAATATTAAGGCCTCCAAGTCCACAAATCGGATGCATAGTCTTCCTAATTATAACGAATTCTATGTTAGTTAAAAATCTTCACTTTGTGATCAGATAAAACTAATAAGGGGTATGAAATTGAGATTCCTTGTGGACACACTTGTTTCATACTTCGTATGTTCACATCTTCCAGCGTCAACTTACCAGCAGTTTTCTGAGGCAGCCAGTCACGGTCATTGCTCCTAATTTCATTGTCTACAACAGCAGCCCTGTGCTCTGTCCTTTTCCTCAATATGTTTCCGGAGACCTGTTCTCCCTTTGAGGAAAAAGGAGCCCTACTGTTTTAATTATTCTTACTCTTGTTTTCCTATCTGTGAATGATAACAGGAAAATCAGGCTGAGGAATTACCCACTGGAGTTTTATACCATTTCTTTTCAATTAGGAAAACAATTTGAAATCTGTGTTAATTTTGGAAAAGCATCTTAAAGCTAATCATTTTCACTGATCTTAAGAAAAGAGGGAAGATATCTATGGAGGTTCTTACCATTTCAAGAATTTTATATTTTTGTGTGCTTCTTAAAGGTGAAATTTGGTAAACATGGACTCTGGCATCATAAGTGAATTTGAATATTCAGCTTTCCACTGGGTCATGTTTGTTACATGTACCATTTAACCTCTCTGAGTCTGTTTGCTTACCTGTAAACTAGAGGTAATAATGCCCATAGGGAACTGACTGCCACGAGGATGAAATCACATTGCATATATTATGTACAGTAGGCATTCAATAAGTGCACGTTTAAACTGAGCATCTGTGATTTCAGTTTCATGCATAGTTTTGAAAAAAACAAACAAACAAACTTGATATTGTCTTGTTTGAGGGAAGCAGTTAATCTAAATTCATGCTGGTATAGATTTTAGAAAGAAGGAATACATTAATAGGATCAGAGTAACAAATAGGTACAACTATTTTTGGTGAGATCCTACACTTTTCTTCTTTTTAAATTTGTGTTTGAGTCTCCAGGTGCTCATCCTGACAAGGATTCTTTAATCTCCATCACCTATTTCACCCACCCCCTCACCTCCCTTCCCTCTGGTAACTATGAGTTTGTTCTTAAGAGTCTTGTTTCTTGCTTTCTCTCTCTCTCTCTCTCTCTCTCTCTCTCTCTCCCCCCTTCCCTCCCTCTTTCTCTTTGCTCATTTGTTTTGTTTTGGTAAGATGATACACTTTTAAAACATATTTGGGAGAGCTTTAGTGAGTGCCATTCCCTCAGGAAAAGATTGAAACATACTTTGTGAATTATGGAAAATATACTCCGTGTCCACGTAAACTTTCTTTAGATTGCCAAATACTTTATAACACTGACATAAAAAGTTAATGATTTATAAATGGTGTCTGGGAAGACTCTCAAAGGAGATCAAGAGTCTCTTGCATTTTTTTCTTCAAAATGATTTCTCTGGGGAAATGTAAATTTGA